AGGACTGGAGACGTGATGAAGGAAAGTGGCCCCAGCCATCACACAAGCCAGAGGTGACTGCTAGGTTTGAACCTGGGCTGGGAAGGTGGGTGGGAGAAGCAGTCACTGAGTGGATCTCACGCCAAGAGTCCCCTAGCCCACCTGCCCTGAGTTGAGCACTAACACACCGTGAGACAGGCTCTGGCTGTTCCTGTCTTCGCTTCACAGATAGCAAACCTGAGCACAGAGACGGGGTCTGGCCAAGACCACCTGGCTGATGAGGGGCACAGCAGGAATTCACACCAAGCATAGTCTGGCTCTGACTCCACCTCCCAAAGAAAAGGCAAGCTTTTCTCTGAGGGCAGGGAAGGGAGAGGAGAACAAGCCACCATTCCTGAGCACCTACTGTGTGCAAAGAACTTTGCAAAGGGCTCTCACTGACTAGGTATGGGGTGGGGTGTGGTTCTGGAGTTTGGGTGAGTGTTCTAGATGATTCCTACACCCACTCATGTCTGCTAACTGCTGCTTTATCTCCTCCTTCCAGTCAACAACCCAGGGGGGTTTGGATCAGCACTCTGAGGTTTCAGAACAGCACAGGGAGGCAGAGCATGCAGGCAGGCGTGGGCTAGTACATGGGGGTGCTTGGGAAAGCTGCTGAGCCCCACTGGGCCTCAGTTTCCTCATCTGTGTGAAGGGGATGCTGTGCTGCAGGAGCCCCTGCAGACAGCTGCTGCCCCCAACAGCTGCTGGCCCTGGTTCTGTCCATCCCAAGGCTGTGTTCCACCTTCTCCCTTGGCATCCTTCCAGCAAGTTCCTTTTTTTAGACCAAAGTCTTTGAGATGTGTGAATGTCCACATGCCCACAAAGCAAGGCCACTATAGGGGTGCAGGAGGCTGCAGGTAAGGCCCTGGTCCAGTGTCCAGCACCAGTGGAATAGCCTGTGGTGACCAGGTCACAGCGCAGAGGGGATCCAACCCTAACCCAAGGGACCCCAGAGCTGCTGCAGGCCTGGGCCTCATAGTCAGATTTCCAAGGAACTGATCTGAGATAACCTGAGCAGGAGAGGAAGGGGGTCCTGCTCGCCACCAGTGCAAGGTAGGGGCACAAAGGGCAACCCCACCCTCAGCAGCGACTTCCTCCTTCTGACGGCAACACCTCAACCCTTGGCATGAGTTGGGTGCCCTGTTTATCCTTTGGACTCAACTTGGTTTTGCTCTAAAGAACCAGATGTTACTGGCTGTTTCTGAGCCAGGTTTAAGTCAGAGCATCAGAAGTTTCTGAGAACCTGTGAACCTATTTCCAGGGATTTTCAGGGCTCACGCTTGTGCACATTGGAATGTTCTGGAATTGTGCCCTCCCCAGCGCTTCACCTGGCTGTGTCATCGGCGGCAAGCCCTTCCTGCTTCCCTCAGCCCCGCAGCAACACGCAGTGCTCCCTGTGCTCATCCTGCGAGGCAGGACTGTGACCGTCCCCTTCCATAGATGCAGAACCCTAAGGCTTGGATGGAGAGCCACCTGCCCAACAGGTGAGGGATGTAGAACATGGACCCACTCCCCGCACCTGGCAGGGGTGGGCTGGGGACACTTCAGCCTGAAGTGCTTGCCCCGCCTACCTCTTAGCACCCTGGGGCAGGGGTGAGGAGGAAACCTGAGCAAGGATCAAGGTGGGACTCTGGCCACCGCACCCATCTGAGCATCTGTGACAGGATGAGCGGGTCAGGCAGCCTCCCGCCACAGCGCCGAGGAGTACCACGCCACATTCTTGGTAACTCTTTTCTCTTTTATTGCCAAGTTCAAATTTACAAGGAAGTTCCAGTTTTCATTTCCACCCTTGTGTTCAGTACCCATGAAGCATGAGTCATGCCAGTGAAAGCAGGTGCTTCCCTAGAATGGTCCTGGTCCCGAGGCTCAGAGCATCAAGGTTTCCCAACCCCTGCTCTTCCCTGGGACAAGAATTATTTACATATTTGCAGCTCAAAGAAACATTAAGGAAATCCTACGGTTTATGCCCAATGGCAACATGACTACATTAAATATTTCGTATTTATTGCGAAGATCAGAATCAGCTCACTTTGTGCCTTTTTAAAAAACGATGCATTTCACAGATTGTTAGAGAAATCCAGTGCATGTCTTTTGGAAGTGAGGGTTTCTTCACTTACCTGGGATCACTAGTTAACGCAAGTGTTTGGGTCATGGGAGGATGTCTTCTGGGCAGAGAGCAGCCTGGCAGGGGAGCACAGAAGGGGCCTGCTCTGGGGAGGCCTCTCCCCCCCATCCCGCTCTGTGGCTTTGAGGCTCAGGGGAGCACCTTACCTTGCCCGTGTGACCTGCTGGGAGAGGTGCCCTTGCATGCCCAAGCCTCCAAACCAGAAGGGGACATGCACACTTCTACGGCAACTTTCAAAACTGAGGTTTGGGGGCTCATGGAGCCAGTCCTGTCCCTGACTTGGCAAATGAATGAGCCCAACAGTTGACTTGGGGAGAGAAGACCAGGGTCTAGGGCTGTTAAGTACTCTCTGCAGGGACATGGAGGTGACCTACGAGTCAGAGGCTGTGGCCCCAGCTGTGGGTGCCCCCTCTCACTGCCCAATGCCTAAGACCCAGTATGTTTTGTCTGGACAGGCCTGCAGGGGAGCGCCCCAGCTGTAAGGTTTGCAGGTGCTCTGGAAGACACAGCTAAGTCCACTGCTGCCAAGATGGCCAAGACCTAGGCGAGGCAGGTCCTTCTTCAGAGCCCGAAGGGCTGGTTGCCTCCTCTAGACTCCCAGACCTCCTAGCACAAGGAGGTATATCCCTTGCCCTCACCAGTAAAGAGCCTGGGAGTCCGTGATTAAAGGAAATCCCCACCCATATACCTGGAGGTGTCCTGCTGAAGGAGACTCCTGGGAATGACCTTGCCAGCTCACACGGGGAACAGGCCTGTCCTGACTGGTGCCTTTAATTCGACAGTTGGTCCTCCAGGGTAGGCTGTCCACCCCTGCCCTCCTTCAGTGTTCAGTGGTCATGAGGCTGGTTGGAGTCACTAGATTTCAGATGACAGGCGGGGATCCAGGGAGGGCTTGGGCCCACCTGTGTGGGCTTGTTTAGTGCAGCAGCAGGCTTGTTCTTCTCAGTCATGCCACTGGGCAGGGAAGGCGCTTGTTGTCTCTGCTGTCCCAAAGATGGAGTCATTTCAAAACCAGAAGTGCATGGCTCTGGAGCTAGCCTATATCCACGCCCCTCGCTCTAAAAGATCAAGCAAAACCCATGCCAGCTGCTGGGGAAACAAGGTGCCTGGTCTTCCGATGACATGGTTGTTTCTCTCCACCGACCATCTTTCCCCTTCTTCCACCCTGTCCTCCTTCCCTTCCCAGGGGCTCTGCTGAGGGTCACACCTTGTCCTTCCTTGTGAGGGCCCTTGGAATTTCTGCCTAAGTGGCCTACTTTCCGAGCTGGGCCTTTTCTTTGTTGAAGCAAAGGTCCTTGTGCCTGTGGCTATGGGAGCTTCTGATGACTGCAGAAACCTGTCCTCATGGGCAACCACTCCCCCTCCTCAGTGGAACCAGTGTTTCCTTTGTGAGGCTGAAATCTGACCTGTGCAGACCCTGCTGGGATAGCTGGTTTGGCAGAGAGGATGAGGACTGAGTTCCAGTAACAGGTAGATGGCGAGATCTCGGAGCATCTCCTGAGCAGGCCAGGCTGCAGCGGACACTGACTCCCTGTGTGCTAACGCTCCCAGTAGACACATCTGCAGACACTTCTGGAGGAAAGCTGTGAAAGGTCTCACCACTGACCAGAGAGGTGAGGGGCTGCTCAGCTGTCTGGCTACCAGGTCAGCCAAGTAGGAAGTACACTGTGGGGCTGTGCTGAATATATCCAAGTCCTCACCTGCGCACACCCATTCTGAATAGAGAGGGGACCATAGGGTTTTCATTCTAAGACAAACTTGAGTCTTGGCAGTAACAGCAGCGGAGGAGAATGAGAGATCGGAGCCCTCAGGACGTCACCCCTGCAGCTGGGGAGAGCTGGCTCTTGACATCCCTCTGCGTATGCGCCCAGGATTGTTCCCATCCCCTTTTATTCCCATCACAGCCATTGGGTCTGGAGTCTTCACGGTTCCCAGTGGTTCTTAGACAAAGATGGCAACAACTGAAGATGACGCTGGAAAGCCATCCCTCTTTGGTTCAGTAAAGTGAGAGATGAAGATTGCATCCTGAGCAGGGAGCTGGCTGCGTTCTCCCCTTTTCTGGAAAGATCTCACTCAGGTAACCCCAGGCCCCTTGGCTGCTACAGTAGAGAAACTTTCAGTAGCCCTCTCAGCTCTGTGTGTACCTGAGAATACATGTATTTCCCTTACTTCTGTTTAAAAAATAATCTAAACTTTCTAGGAAGGTACTTTATCATTCCACAGCCTTGCAGAGTTGGCTAATAACAAAGAGATAAGAATCGCTTAAGAAAATGCAGAAAGCCACACCAAGACCTCCAAAACAATGCTGGGAAGGTCAAGGGAAGACGAAGATGAAATCTTAACAGTATCATTACACTTTTAACGTGACATCAAACTTTGGAGTTGGGAATTTTTTTTTTTGGACTTTTTTTTTAAATAGATGCTTTTTAAATTCGGCTGCCAAAAGTGGAAATAAATATCCAAAGGAGATGTTTATCCAAGTTTGCTTTTCTACGAATTTCTACCCAAAGTGACCTCATCCAATTCTGTGCACACTGGGGATGGTGTGCACAGGGGCCACCTGAAGGGAGGGTGAGGTACCGGTGGGTCCTGCCCCCCCGGGGCTGTTGGGCTCAAGGACAACGCCCAAACTTCTCCCTGGAGCGGCCACTGCTGTCATCTGCACTCACTGGGGTGTCTCTACGGGTCCCAGCCTGCTCTTAAGGAGGTGCAACATGAAAGAGGAGTTCAAACGCAGCATGGTTTTCTTCCGATTCAAGGGGCGCAGGGATAAGAGGCTGAGATGGTGACTGAATGCTGCCAGTTGCCTGCAGTGGGTCCCTTCCAGGGGGCCACACATGCAAAGGGAGGCCCTGGTGCTGACTCAGTGCTCCGCAGGGCCTGTGGGCTCCACACACGCAGCCTTCTTGTCCGGGGTCACCGGGCACGATACAGCTGGCATGGGAGGTGGGGGGATGCTGGTGAGGGTATGGAGGCTGCAGGGGTCGACGGGGGGGACAAGGGTCAGAGATTCAACGCTCAGCGTGTCAGCAGTGTCCTCACAGAGCAGGGAGATGGTGGGCTGTGGGGCAGGGATGAGGCTGGGGGACAGGTTGGCAGTCTCCATGTCCGCACTCCTGGTCAAACTCTTGGTAGGCTTGGAGTCTGCTTCTGTTTCGTTGACGATCTCCAGCTGGTCAGGAAAGTGAGGCAGAGGCTGTTCTGGAGTTGTGGGGGCATCTGGGTGGGGGGAGAAAAAACAGCTACTCTCAGCCCTCGAGATACTCTGCTCACACTGGTACCCTCTCTTCCCAACCTTAACCACAGCCCAGGGAAATCTGGGAGGGAGATGGCTCGTGTAGGGGCAGAGCCTGTCTCCACTTTCTCCTTTTGGGGACACAGATACTGCTAGAACCAGTCTTTCCAGGCCTGGGGAAATGTGTCAGGGCCCAGAGTTACCCTGACTTGTGATAGGAGGAAAAAATCAGGGGCTTGTGCAAAATCAACATGTCGATTATGAAAGTGCTGTTCCTGGGTGCTGAGACATGGCCCAGGCAGGCTTTATGTACAGGCCAATCTTGGAACATCTACCTGATGACAAATAACCTGTTTAGGAAGTAAATGGGCTCACCGTGCTTATAACTTCGGGCCATTTCCAGAGTCTATATTCGGTAACATTTACCTAAGAACCCACTGCAATATATATATACACACACATATATATATTTTAAAGGAATTTCTGTAGAACTTTTCAGTTTGCAAAACCAAAACAAAACCTTGGACTGTGGTGTGTCTCCTCCTCCTCCTCTAAGCGCTGAGTCAGTACTGTCAAAGGCCGTGACTGCCCTGGACATTCCTGTCCTGAGCTTGTCCGAGGGGCCATGTCAGGAGGAATTCAGGAGAGGCCCCACCTAAGTTGGTTATTTTTGGAGTGGCAATTCTTTTTGTGGTGCTTTTCAAAACCCTTGATTAGATTACAGACAGATTAATGGCCCATTTGCTTTCCAATGATGAGTTTGCCTGGATGGAAACACCAGATGCAACTGGAGTTCCTTGTGGAAAGCATCTTCCAGGACTTCAGATGCTGGTCATTTAAAAATTGGTAAGTTGGGGCTGGCCCTGTGGCTCACTCAGGAGAGTGCAGCGCTGGGAGCACCGAGGCTGCGGGTTCAGATTCTATATAGGGATGGCTGGTGTGCTCACTGGCTGAGCATGGGGCAGACCACACCATGCCGAAGGTTGCGATCCCCTTACTGGTCCAAAAAAAAAAATTGGTAAGGTGGCAGTGGGCACCGTGCTTGGAAAGCAAATTCTTATTTGGACGGCTTTTGGGGTCAAAAAGCAGTCGGCAGCAGGTATTGACTAGGTGGTGTGCAGCTATGGATGTGAGAGCCCTCTGGGCCCTGGAAGTGATGGCAGACACTTTTTGTTCAATGTGATTCCAGTTAAGTTAGTTTTTTTTTTTTTTTTTTCCCTCTTTTAGGTTAAGCCCAAATAAAACAGAACAGCAAACTGAACATACAGCATAAGAATGGAAAAACGAGGAGCAAAATAAAACCAAACAGCATATAGAATGGGCTGAAGGGGAGGAAGAGAATTCCTCTCATGGAGAGAATGCACAAGTGATAGAATCTCCAGGGGACACACTGGCATTTCTTCCCACAAGACTCTGGCCAAGATGAGCTCTAAAAGGTCCCAATTAATTTCTTCCTAAGGTCTTTCTTTTTTTTAAAGGAGAGAGAGAAAGAAGGTTCAGAAAAAACCACTGCATGGAGCTTTGGGTCTGTTCTCGCTCCAGGAGGGTGGCCCTGGGCACTAGTGAGCACTAGTGGAAAAAGTGATTCACGGTGTGATCTGAGCCCAGAACTGCTGAGGAAACACTACATACGAATTCTGGTTTCTCTGAATTCCAACTAATTTGTTCCATTCAATGAGGACGCCTTGTGGTGCGGGGCTGATTTCAGCTCCCCCAGCTCGTGTTCTGACCTAGCACAAGCTGCCTGCTGTTGATCAGGACATGCGGTTCCTTGGGCGGGGCTCACCTGCTCGCTCCTTCGCAGGAATGTGAGCATCTCTACGGACTTACACACCTGTGGATCCACTGGGAGGTTAGCTGCTGACCAGACAGTTTAGAAATGAGTACTTCTCCAAATGGCGCTGTCCTGCTATCTGGAGACAGAGTGGCAAGACATTTCCTTCACATTTTCTCAAAACCTCTACTTACGAGTTCCCTCTTGGCTCAAGTCTGCATTGCATGCAGATATTCAAAAAAGCTGGCAATCCTCTTTCCCTGATCCATAATGGGGTTTTTGGTGATGAGAATAATTAAGGATGTGGGAAAGCTATAGTAAAATATATTTAAAAAGCAAACCAAGTAACAAACAATACCACACACACAAAACTGGCTGCTGCTTTAGGAAAAGAACCAACAATTTTTATTAAAAGGGTTGATTTTTCCCTTAAAAATAGCCTCTATTTTTTTAAGTAGGAAAAAACTCTTACTCATTGTCTACAATATTGTTTTATTTTGTTTTTTAACTAAGAACTGCTTCCTGAGTGTAACCTACAAATTTATCCAACCAAAGGGGGAAGAAAAGGAGAACTCTACCAGGTTTTCACTGGGAGAAAATTAACCAGCAAGGACACATTTTGTTTTCTGGTCAAGTGCTGAGCTGCAAAGGTTATTGTTGAAAATTTGGCTTCGCTGGCCTGCTGGGGTTTTTCAGCTCTAAGGTCACAAGCTGGGACCAGGCCCAGGAAATGAGGGATTCAGAGAAAAGTCTGACTTCCTGGCCATGGGCTGGAGAGACAGATCTGAGGCTGGAGTGGGAAACCCAGGAAGTCCATGTTTCCCTGAGTAGTGGACAGGCCTCCTGTGGCTCTGGCCTGAGAAGACACCAAGGCAGCGGGTCCCCCAAGTGCCTGGTCAGCACCCTCAGAAGCTGATCTGCAGCTCTGGGCAGGGTCTCAACTGATCTGTATGTCAAGTGAGTGGTAGTTTCCAGTAAACACTTGGATTGGTTGTGCTGGGGCTGGGAAAGGTGGGCTGGGAAAGGTAGGCTGGGTGATGTGGGGGAGAAAAGGAGGGCCCATGCAAGCCAAGGGTAAGGCTCAGAGGAAACAGCTTTTAAACAAAAAAGGCGAAAGGATCCCAGCTGAGAAGCACAACAAGGTGGGGGGGTGGGAGGTACGCATCAGAAACCACAGAAGAAGCATCATGGAGAAAGCAGCTGCAGTTGGCCCTGGCAAAGGAGCCGTGCTGTTGGGGTGGGGAACACTACATGTAAAAAGGGGGACAATGGAGTCATCGATACATTTATAATGGAAGTTACTTTTGGCCTCAGGCTGGAGAGGACTGAATTTGACTTGTTTGAGCAAGGTCAGGGAAAAAAAGAAAACAATAAACTAGGTGGCTTCTTGGTTGCTTTTTACAAATTCTCAATTTTCCAGCCAACTGCTGCCCAACCTCCATGGACTACACTGGGGGGACCCTGAGGGGACTCGGGACAATCTGCCTCTAGCTTGGGCTGGCCGTGGTGAGGTATTTCACAGAGAAGAACAGTGTTTCCAGGCTGCACAAGTCTGGCCTGGAACTGACCCAAGGGTAAACGGCTGGGGGGATTTGGTTCTCAGATGACGGATGGCCAGAAAGGGAGTGGGAAGAGCCGGCTTTGGGGAAGTGGGGCTGGCTTCCTGAGTGGCTCTCTGTGCTCACGGCCTGGCGTCCTCTGGGCCCAGCTTGTGCAGACCCTGCCGATCATGAGAACAGCGTGGCGAGTGGACATCGTGGGCCTGTGGAGGCTACCGGAGGAGACCTGCCTGAATTGACTGTGCGTGGGTTGCCGTGGCGGCTGCTGGTCGAAGCACTAAACCCAGTGGCCGCCGTGACCGTCGGCCTCCGACAGGCTGAACACTCGCCGGCGTCCTTTCCTGCTACTCCTGACTAGAGGGAAAACACAGCGACAGATCATAAAGCCTGTAACAGTGGAACAGCGAAGGTGACACGGAGAGAGGGGACACAGAGCAGCAACAGACGCTAAACATCAATGAGAGTGCAAGGGGAGTGGGCAGCACCCCAGCGTGGGCTCACGGTCCCCCGTGCAGATCAGACGCCCCCACCCCACCCCCCCGGACCAGGCAGGGTTGGGACATCTAAGAACCAGATCATTCACTGTGCGACTTAATCGAGTCAAGGACAGACAAGTTTTGGGCCTGTCGGGAAGGAAATATCTGGAGTCATCAGCAACATCTGGTCTTGGTCAGAAACCTCAGGGGACAGAAGAACAAAACTGCCTGTCAGTTTTAGATGTGGACCAGCAGTTAAGAAATGAAAACCCTGTACCCTCAGGATGGTCTGAGGAGAGAAGGGTGTGTGGTTGGAGGACTGTATCCAAACCAGCTAAGTATACCAAGCAGATTTCTGACCCCAACTGATGAGGCCAACAGGTCTCAGTGTCACACACTAAAGCCAGCAGCACAGCTCCACGAGTTCTGGGACAGCCTCAGTGTCCGAGGAGCTCCATGACACCGTCCCTCAACCATGAGATGATGCTCTCCGGGTGGTGACCTCGTGACCCACACCTTTGAAAACCAAGACTGAACCACAGCAGGAAATGCTGAGACCAGGTGCCATGTGGCCAAGGGATGGGTTCTAATCAGCTGAAACAGAAACGTTAGGAGCAACTTCCTGCAGAAGAAGAAACCATAGTCTCAGAGACACACTGGGGATTAGAGCAAAGCTTAAAAGTGAAGCTGTGGGGCACAGGCAATGTGAATGTACTTAAACGCTGCTGAACGACACTCTGAAAAATGGTTAAAACGGTAAATTTTAAGTCATGCATACTTGCCTCAATAAAAAAAAAATGCCATGGAGAAAACTGAGGAGAAAAGATAACACCTCTTACTCGGGCTTTCTGTCCCTAAAAGTGCCACTGGACAGTGGTGACTGAGTTTGGAGACATGCAGGTCAGGCTGGGTGTGTGCTGGGATGAAGACAGTATGTTCAGACAAAGGGTGCAGGGAGCAGATGGGGATGGGGAAGGAGGCTTCTGACACTGGGCCATCACCAGGAACCAGACCCTCCTTTCTTTCTGTGAAACCTCAGAGAGAGTCAAAGATGGCCATGGCTCCTAATCTAATGTGCTTTAAAAACAGACATCTCAAAGAGCAGGCTGACCTCACTCTGACGCCATTTTAACAAACAACTTTCTGTCCTCCTCCTCCTCCTCAAAGCAGCTCCA